GAGGGCACCTAGGGCTTCTCCTACCAACTCATGAAGGGAGCATTTCTGATATGACTGCATTCCTCAACCCAACCAAAGACCCGCAGAGTTCAACTCATTTAAGGCAGCATTACAGCATTTTGGTATGTTCAGATCTGGCTGGGAACTTTCCTGGTGTGAAACTTGAGCTGAACCAACCAGAACCTCAACACTGATTTCATCATCGGTTGCCAGGCATTGAAGGCACTATCCCCTCCCTCCCTACTTCCCTCCCTCCCTCACCCCGTGGCTCCCCCTTCTTCAATGCCCGAATGGCTGACAGGGAGAGTCCACCTCTCCTGTGGTTTTGCAACAGTACAGGGAGAGGCAAAGCCCCTTTCTGGAAAAATGTGGATTCTATTCATCACACCTCTTTAGGAATAGAGGAGAAAGTATAAAACAGGGATCTGAGATGGCCCAGGTGGCCCCCCAGCTCTGCCTTCTCTGGGACCAAGCGCCATCAGCAAAAGGGATCCAGAAAGAGCAAACCTAGTTCTCGGCTAAGAAATGATTTATGAAATGAAGAAGCCGCACCTCCAGATCCTGGTCTCTCCCACCTCCTCCAGCAAGCAGAACAGAAGGGGCCCTGAACCGTCAACTGAGCCATGAGCCTCACAGGGCAGGAGGGGTGGGGGGCAAATCCTGTGCCCGGAGCTGCAGAGAGAATTTAGCGCTCTTAAAAATAATTTAGCGCTCTTAAAAATTGCCACCCTCCCTTGTAGAAGATCAGCAAAGGTGTTTGCCCCCCTCCCTCCCCCATTTTCATCATGACAATCTCTAGCCTGAAATATCAGAGGTTTCAAGTGGAATCCCAGCAGGTTGTATAAAGGGTGCCCCTTTTGAAGCAGGGCTTTGAGGAAGCCTCCGGTCAGGAGAGAAGGTGGCCTGGCTCGGCCTTGGTCATCTGGAAAAGAAGAAGTAGAAGGGGGTGATTAGATGGGGAATCCGAACCCTTCCGGGCTAAAATCCATCGTGCCTGCCTTTCGTCCTCTCCAGCGGAGGCACCGAGTGATCCTCCTTCCTGCCTTTCTACTCCGAGGTAAATCCCGTTGACGTCGATGGGGCTTCCTCCTAGCCAAGAGTTCCCGGCCACGAAGAATTCAAAAGCCCATCGGGCGCGGGGGGGAGGTGTTGCGAGGACCCGTCGGGCTCCTGGCGACACAGAGGGGCCCCTCTTCTGCCTGGGGGGGCAAGGTAGTGCTTGGTAGGATCGGGCTCCCCCTCCCCGCTCTGCTTCCCTTGGCCAGTGCCTTCCCGGAGCTCCCCTCTCCCCTTCTTCCCGGGGCCTCCATCTCCTCCGCCCCCCCCCGCTTCTCCCTCCCTCCCCTTCCAGCGCCCGGGCGAGCGGGAGGGCGAACAGGAGCGCCCAGAGGCTCAGGCGAAGGGCTGGTCCTCGGGCGGACCGGACGGCGGGTCTCGCCATCTCAGGGGCCGGACGGGCAGCGGACGAGGAGGACGGCGGGGCGGCGGGAAGGAGGGCTTCGGCCGGGCGCTCCCTCGGGGCTCTCTCTCTGGCCACTGCGTTGGGAGGGAGGGCGAGGGAAGCGTCCCGTCCCCGCCCCCAGCCGGCCTGGACCAATAGGAAAAAGGTCCCCGGGGATGACCAGCCTGTTGCCAGGCGAAGCGGCTCCGCCCCGCAGCCTCGCCGGGAGAGCGAAGGGGAGGCAAGAAGGGGGGGGCCGGGAGGGGCTCGTCGCTCCTCTTGGCCATCGGGAAAGTTTCTGCGCTTCCTTGCCTGGCGACTGATGACGCTCCCGCCGCTCTGACGGCTGATAGGTCCTGAAGGTGGAGGGGGCGGTGCTTGGCGGAAAAAGGTCTTTTTCCCAGAGGGACGGGTAGGGGCTGAGCCCAGAAAGTCCCCGTCCGGACTTGGAAGACGAAAGGTCCAGATTTGGAGGGGGGGGGCTTCCTTTTGTTTTTCTCCCTTGGAAGAGGAGGCGTAGGTTTGGCGATGGGCTTTGGAGGCCGGCTGGTGGCGGGGATGATGGGAATGTTAGTCCTGGTCTTTTCCCGGAGGGCGGAGAGCGCTGCGGAGCCCCCAGGTGAGTGAATGCCCTTCTCCCCTGGAGTTGGGGATGAGACGGCGCGGCGGAGCCCCCAGGTGAGCGAATGCCCTTCTCCCCTGGAGGTGGGGATGATGGGCGGGGAGGGTGGGAGCAGCGGGGGCCGGACACCAAGCCCAGGACGCTCGTCTTCTTAAGGAGGGGGGGAACCTTCCGTGGACTCCCCTCTTCGAGGTGTGGAAAACCTCAGGAGGCTTCGTTCCGTTTCTGCTCCCAGGCTCAGGCGTCGCTCTTCGGGATTTCTTTCGCAGACTTTACGGGGTGGCCTTTGAAGACCCTCTAAAGGGGCCGCTGACACTCCTTTGATCGTCCGCCCAGGGAATAGGATGGCCGAGAACCTCTCCATTGGCCAAGGAAGCCTCGTTAGAGCCAGAGAGTGATTGCCCTCAGGTGTTTCCCCCTCCCGGAAAAAAAATTGAATAGCAATGATTTTAATCGGCATAAATTATTTTCATACTTTATTATTGGTGTGCTCACCTCTAAAACGCCCTGATTTCGAAGATGTGCCCTTGATGAGCGCTTATGAACTCAGGCCCGTGGCTTCTCTTAGGGAATCAATCCATCTTGCCTTTGGTCCTCCTCTTTTCTTGCTGCCTCCCGCCTTTCCCGGCATTATTGTCTTTTCTAGGGAATCCCACTTTTGCATGTTGTGCCCAAAGTAGGACAGCCACATTTCTAACTTTTTTTCCCCCTCCAGAGAGAGTTTAGCCTTGATTTGCTCCGGGAACCACTTGTTTCTTTTTCTGGCTGTTGGGCGTATCTGGAAAGCTCTCCTCCAGCAGTTCAAGCTAAACAATTTTTTTCCCTTGTATTCGCCAAGGCTTTCACGGCCGGGATCTAATGGTGGTTGTGGGTTTTTCGGATGCTGTCCTCTGAAGATGCCCATGGCCACAGAGACTGGAGAAACGTTAGGAAGAACAACCTCCAGAACATGGCCAAAGATCCCGAAAAACCTTTTTCTGAGATGCAGGATTTTGCACTTCTCCCTGTTGAATTTCATTCTGCTGCTTTCGGCCCACCTCTCCATCCTATCAAGGTCATTTTGAATTTTGTTCCTGTCTTCTAGGGTATTAGCTATTCCGCCCACTTTGGTATCATCTGCAAATTTGACAAGCTTTCCCTGCACTCCCTCATCCAAGTCATTAGTCAAAATATTGAAGAGCACCGGGCCCAGGACTGAGCCTTGGGGTACCCCTCTTGTTACCTCCTCCCAGTTAAGAGAAGGATCCATTAATTCTTGCTTGTATATAAATCTTCATAATAATTTTGAAAAGCTTCTAGTTTTTCTTCCATTTTATTACTTCTATGCCCATTCTGATTTTTATTACTCCAATATATTCAAATATATTAGATCCCTCTGGATGTTTTCCATAGGGTAACCCTTCTAGTTCCTTCCTTTTCGCTCGTAACTCCACCATCATCGCCTTTTCTCTCGTTCTTCTCGCCTTCCCCC